CCTGTGGTGTGAAGGGGCCCAGAGGGCGCTGGTGGTCGGGGCGGGAGTGGGGTCTGAGCTGGTGAGGTGTGTGTTGTTCTTGTGGTGTGTTTAGCCTGTCCCTTCCCTGTCAGGGGCCAGGGAAGGGGGAGCTGTGCTCCTCAGGCTGCTGTGGGTCCTGAGGTGGGTCTGTATCTCGCCTTGCCTGAGGAAGGCCGGCCCTCAGCGCTCAGGGGCTCGTTGGCCTTTCGGACTCGGGTCTGTGGGTTTGTTCAAAACAAACCTTTGTTGTATGTGGAAGTCAAATTTCCCTCCAGGGGAGATGGCTGTTTGGAGATAAGGTTCTCTCACTGTGTGCATGCATTTCTTCATTTGTGGTTGAGGCAAACTTCCTGAGGTTTGGCAGTGTTTCTGGTATCTTTGATGCCCCATCCAAGGTACCTGTCTGTGGGTAGGAGACTAGTAATCACTTCTGAAAAATAATTCTTTACTAGAAAGGAAGTAACAGTAGAATATGCTGCGTAAAGAACTTGAATTTACTTATTGAATATAGAAGTATTAAGGGAGTAAATTCTGCATTTGAGTTGAAGTTTTGTTAGACAAATGTTTTGGAGGATGGTGATTCTACTTTAAGCCTTTGCTTAGACTGCAGTATTTGATCGATAGTGATGCATAAAGTTCATTAAATAGGTGACTAATTTACTTACTAACTAGTTTATTCTCAAAGTAAACTTTAAGAAACAGTGTTATTAATGCTGCTGAAGCCACACGGTCCTGGCTAAACTGTCTGGTCCACTGATGTATTGGTCTTAAAGCTTGTATGTGCCTCTTTTCATCATTCAATGTTTCTTAGATTTTTGTACACAAAGAAGCTATTGTCTTGGCATTCCAGTTATAGCCTGTAAATTCTGACTGGACTAGTTAAATGTTGAGCTAGTGTCTCCCTCTCTGAAGCACTAGAAAACAAATACAAATGTGAGATAACTTTGTGAAATAATGACTCATAGTTTGAGATGTTCGGAATGTATTACATCTGGACTAAAACAAAAATCTGTTTAATTAAATGGATGAGTTTCACTTGAAAGATCGTTTTTTTTCCTTTTTGCAGAAGCAGTAAATCAAACATAAAGAAAAACTTAAATATTTTCTGGATTTAAAGTCTAGTTACTGGCAATTTTGACAAGATTCTTCTACGTCGTTAATGGTATAAATACAATCTTTCAAATTATATCAGTAATTAGCTTTCTCCAATATCTGCAAGGCTGTAGCCATTGCCAGATTTCAGCAAAAGTTTTTTAAAGGTCAACTTTTGTACTTTGTACAGATTGGAAAAGCCAGTTGTAAATTACAACTAGTGATATTGATAAAGTCATATTAATACAACTTTCAAATCCTGATCTTAAACTGAGTTTGTGGCCATTCTGTGCATTCAGCAGTACAGCTGCTCTGGACTTTGTTGCATTGTGGCTTATGTGAGAATGCACAAGTACAACTTATGTATTAGTTTCAGTGTAAAGAAGTGGAAAAAATGGTAGATTTCTTCAATGACCAGGCCTTCCTCCTGGAATACATTGAGTTCTCTGTGTGCTGGATGCAGACCACTTGAGATTAAGTGTATACTATGGTTTCAGTTTTGTTGCTTTTTAGAGCCTTTTCTGTGTTAGGTCAGCTCTGTCCCAGACAACTGTCAGCTGCTTAGCAAACTTAAGGCCCAGTCATTGGGTAGGTAAGTGAAATGAGAAAGTGAAGATTAGAGTTAAATTGTAGCCTTAATTTATACTTCTAAAGATGTCTTTTCAATCTCTTAAAACATCTCAACTGCATTTTATTTAGCTCGTCCCAGTTAGGCATCGGGGGGTTTTGTTGTCACTCCATCTCCCTTGTTGCTCCTTAAATTCCAGATGACTGGCTTTGAGGCACTTGTGTTCCCTTGAAGTTTCCTTTTCATGATTTTTATGGAATCTGCCAGGTTTATGTAACAGCTCATTCATTCTTGAGGCTCTGAGTGCAAAAGAGTTATTTTCCCGTTTTGTTTTTACTGAGATTGGCAGCTAGCTACCCAGTTTGGACTGTTCTATATGTATCCTCTTAAGACTCAGATAGGATTATTAATACTCATTAAGTAATATATAATCTCTGGTGTGTGATCATCTAGACAGATAGGGAGACATAACATTACGTGCTAACATAGCAGAGGCTAATTGTTCTATTGATGTGTAAGAACAGATGTCTACCTCTAGCCTTTCTGTACCAACTGGAAAAGTGCATGACATCAGAGATTCCTGGAGTTATGACACACTTGTTCAAACTAACTGGATTCTTGCTGCCTGGTAGTGGCATTATCAACAGGATTCCTACTCCTTTAAGCCACCCTGTTTTGTCTTTCTTCCTGTAGCTTGAGGTTGAACACTTTATATCAAAGTGGAGCTATATGCAATATTAAACATAACTTGAAACTGAGATTTGGGTGGTAGAGAGAATATACAACAAAGAGAATGTTTGGGTTTTGCCTCATAATGTTAACATGCATTAGGAATTCTTTGTTATCTTTCTTGTCACCTAATTCCGGTGAAAAAGTGGCAGCCGGATCACACTGGTAAGCATTTTCTTGTATAGACCTTGGAATGAGGCTGCTATTGAGCACACTCTGTTAATGTTAAAACTCACTAGCTTTTTGTGATGACTGTATGAATGTTGATGTCTAGCCACATGTACTTGGTGCAATAACTTCTGCATTATGTCTGGTTTCATCGTGTATGTGTAATGTGCTTTTGGCAGCATTATGCAATGTAAAAATTAAGCAGTCAAATCTTTGTTTACTACTTCAAGATTCTTCAGTTAAATTTTTTTGGCTGATAGTCGCTACCAATATGATTATTTTTTTTTTCTCATGGATGATGGGTGTCCCTGTGGAAGGCACCAGAGACAAGGAAAGCAAATTATATTAATGCAAGATCTTGGGCAGTACTATGAACAAAAAAAAACACTTGTATTGATTTTATGTGGGAAGGTTTTGGTAATGGGAGGTGGGGACTGCAGGGCTGGCTTCTGTGAGAAGCTGCTAGAAGCTTCTCCCATGTCTGACAGAGCCAATACCAGCTGGATTCAAGACAGACCCACTGTTGGCCAAGGCTGAGCCCTTGGGCTAATGTATAGAGTTGGGGGGTGGGGGAAGGAAGCTGTGCAACTACAGCTAGAGGGAGGAATGAGAATATGTCAGAGAAACAACTCTGGAGACACCAAGGTCAGTGAAGAAGGAGGGGGAGGAGGTGCTTCAGGTGCCAGAGCAGAGATTCCCCTGCAGCCCATGGTGAAGCCCATGGTGAGGCAGGTTGTCCCTCTGCAGTCTATGGAGGTTAATGGTGGAGCAGATATCCACCTGCAGCCAGTGGAGGACCCCACACCAGAGCAGGTAGATTTCTAAAGGAGGCTGTGACCCTGTGGGGAGCCCATGCTGGAGCAGGCTCCTGGCAGGACTTGTGGCCCTGTGCGGGACCCTTCTGTAGCAGTTTGTTAAAGAGCTGTAGCCCATGTGAAGGACTCATGTTGGAGAAGCTTGTGGACTACCATCTCTGGTGGGAGCAACCCCACACTGGAGCAGAGGAAAAGTGTGAGGAGTCTTCCCCCGGAGGAGGAAGGAGCAGCAGAGACATTGTATGATGAACTGTCTACAGCTACCCATTCACCATCCCCCTGCACTGCTTGAGAGTTGGGAGGAGGGAGAGAAAATCAGGAGCAAAGTTGAGCCAAGGAAAAATGGAGGGGCGGGAGAAGGTGTTTTAAGATTAATTTTTATATCTCAATAACCTACTCTGATTAGATTGGCAATTAATTAAATTAATTTCCCCAACTCCAGTCTTAATAGGAATTGACTCACTGAGTTCTTTCAATTCCAGATGAAGAATAACAGCTGCCTTCATGCAGGATTAGTTCAATTAGTTGGCAATCATCCTCTTTTGTCTAAAGACCCAGAGGCTATAAAACAGAGTTGATGGCTTCACCAAATTGAAGAACACTACTCCAGGAGGTTATACTGCTTTTTGGCATGTTGACTTTTGAACAAATGTACTTTTCAACTTTTGGAGTGATCAACTGAACTTATGTGGCCTCCTTGACTTTTGATAGTGTCCTTATCCAAAGCTGTAACCAGTCAGGTACAATCTATGTTCAGTTGAACTTTATTGATCAGTTCAGCTGATTGATGTACAAAGGAAGAAGATACATTTGAGGGAAGGCAGTCAGGTATGTGTGGACACGTGGTCACTCTTACACGAGCCTGAGGAGCCTGGCTGACTGGGCCATAGGATCTTTGGTGAGTTGGGGCTTCCTGAAGCTGATGAGTGTCCTGCAATTTTGACTCTGTGCAGCAAGACAAATTCTGCTGGATTCTGTCCTTTTATAGCTT